ATTTGGTACACTAATAATAGATATGATTTGTTTATTCTAAATTGCCTATCATATTTTGCTAGTGCAATTTATTTCTTATCATGAGAGCGGAATTGAATTAGAAAGTAATAAGATAAGATTGTCACCCTCTCTCCCTCTCTTTCTCACCACCCTTAAACCCAATTGTCAAAATTGTCATCACCATTATCACACTAGTATTATCATCTTAACTACTAATGTTACCATCACCCTTACCCACTGTTGTCATTACTATCATTTCCACCACTGTCATCAATATATCACTTTATGTAATCATTATTGATATTATCATTATTATTATTATTATTATCGTTATCATTATTATCATCATAGTCATCACCATTATTATTATTGTTATTGTTACCATCAATTATAACTATTTATTTGTATCAAATATAGAAAATGATGAAATAATACTGTTGTTTGCCTATTCGATTAGCAAACATTAATCATAATTAAAATTAATTTTATTTTCACTACAATAAATGTTACATATAGTGACATACAAAAAATGTCACTATAGGTACAATATATGTAAGTATATGTCTATTTGACATATAATTACACACAATTTTAGTGTTAATTTTTAATGAGATTTAACAACATATTTTGTGTGTCACTATAATCTATACCCACACTTTTTAATAATATACCAACATATATTATAATTATTATGTAGGTAAAAATATTTTTTAGTAATATTATGTATAGTGTCACTATAGGGTGTGTGTCACTATATGATAATTTAGTTGTAGTGTTTTATTCTATCATGTTTCATGATTTGATGTATCCTATTATATCCTCACAGCTAAGCATGATCTAAATATTAAGTTCTTCTTCTATTAAGTGTATTTAATTTATTTTATAATATTTTCTTCAATGAGTATGTAGGATGGTTGTTTATAAAAAAACTATTAATTGAAAAGATAAATATATTTAATGTCTTCAAAATTAAAAATAAAAACATTTAATCCTATCTTTGTCTAATAATTAAGAAAATTACTCGGAAAACTTTTGTAAAAAGATTTAGAATATTCTCACTGTTTTTTACACTCACCTTTGTATTTATTACAAAAGTCACTCGGTCTTTGTTATCTTTGTGAGGTCATTTAACATTTTTCAAACAACATATACTAAATTAATACGATGTAATAAGATTTGTACTCATTTGGCTAAATAATTATGTCCCTTAATTAATGAATTTGACCTTTGTAATCGTGTATATGAAAAAATATTTTGAGTCATCAAATTTTTCTAAATTTTTATTAAAAATAATAAATAAATTTATATTTATAAGTAATACTTGAATTTGCTCTAATTTTAACGAGAAATACTTAATTTAATTAGATACAAGTATAGTTATGGATAATACCTGATTTATTAAATCAAGTATGGAGGCATGAATGAATATACATATATTCATTCTGTATTTGTATCAGTTTAAATTTTTAGAAACTTATTTTTAAAAAATAATTTACTTAACATTTATGTCATTTTTATTCTATTTTAAATTAATATTAAATTAAATTTAGTTAACATAATTTTATAATTATTAATATATTAATTTCTAAAATAAAATTTTAAAAAAATAATTAATTTTTTTAATAATTATGAGACAAATATAAATATATCCGATTTTGAAAAAAAAAAAAAAAGAGAATGAAACTCAATCTCATAATATAAAAATAAAGATAAATATAAAGTAAAATAATAATAATAATAATAAAACCCGTAACTACCCAAGTCACTTGCCATCCCTAATTTTCACACTTCAAAGCATAAGTGACTTTCTAGACACCAAAACATTTAAAGATTGTAGATTAAAAATGGTGTTAGAAAAATATTTTGGAAATCATTATTATCACTCTTTTTTTGGTAAAGTCCATTATTATCACTCTTAGTCTCTTACCATTATAATCATTTTGGTCTGCCACTCCCACTGACACCGCATTTGGCAAATTAATTCCTGCT